TGATGGAGGTAACATTTATTAATAAACAAAATTATGTATGAAAAGACATTGACATACATGATCATGTAAAAGCCACTAAGTGGGAGAACCACCACCTCCCCCTCAAAAAAAAAAAAATAATATCCAGCCTATTATTTTCATTGTAAAAATATCTGGAGAGTTGATAACATTATGCATTGGGTACTTAGCAAATGTTCTGTCCCACGTAGCCTGGGACCAGCATGGCCTCCTGGGTTCCCTTCTCTTTTCTAGGAGCAGCAGTCAGGTTTCTTGTGTAGAATGCTTAGCACACTAACTGTCCTTTATAGAGAAAGTAAATTGTATTTTAATTGAGTGCATATTTTGAGACATTACTCCACAGTTTACCTTGCAGCCATGTTTGATATAATTTGCACATTATTTGTTGCTGTATTAAATGTACAAATTGGTAGATTAGTCCCTGTAGGCTGGTAAATTAACCAAGGGTAGATGTTCAGCATGCATCCATACACATCCATGCATGCCAGGTAAAGTACACTTGTCATTAGGGAACAAGGGAGCTGCCACTGTTATACTCCTAAATATGTTAATTGGATGGCTGCCACTTTTCTTGGCTATTCCTAGGATCAAACTCAAAACAAGCATGCAGAAAATGAAAATCCAAATTTCTTATTAGTTGTTCCAGGTTATTGGCTCATGTAAGCAAAAGCATGACAGACAGGCAACTAGTATTTTCAAAGGTAATGTTCAGCAATGGGAACCTCCATTTTCTTTTTATGATAGGTGTCCATTCATTAGTTTAGATGCTATGAGTGAGCAAGTGTTTCTCTTTTATTGACTTTTGCTAGTTCCTGGCTACATTTTTTTCATTTTCTGCACTGACCCTGTGCTTTTTTCTGTGTGATTCTCCACCTCTTCATGTGGTTCTTATGTCTTGGTTTACCTGGCCTCTTAGTTTTACCAATGTCCTACCCTGACCTGTTACTTCTCTAGCCATTTGCTACCACAGCAGACACCCTAGTCTCAGCCTTTGATGTTGGCACGTGGAAAAGAATACTTGGGTATAATGGTCCATAAAACCTGGGGCTACTGAGTGCCTGTAGAAACAAAAATATGCTTAGCAGCAAAGATCATTGTAGGGTGGCCATTATCCCTGATCATAGTCAGACCCTTACTAAAATGAAACCATTTAGCAGGCATGCATCCCCTACCATATCGCCCATTATAGTGTATATACATAGCTTGCTCACCTAGCCTCTATCGTTCACTTCATACTCTCCTGTTTGCAATGAATGTTTTTTAGCTGCTCATCAATCTTTATTTTTTATCTACAGCTGGGAATGTCCAAAACAGAACTATTCTTCACAGCACAAATTTGACTGGTAAGATCCACTAAGCTACAGACCAACTAAAACAGGTTCTCAGCAAATCACAATTAGTGGCCACTTGGCATTTATCTAGAGCAGGGGTCTCCAAACTATGACCAGTGGGCCAAATCCAGCCTGCTGATGTAAGAGGGGTGCCACTCAAACTGAACCCCAGGAGTCAGAGAAGAACGAGATGTGGTAGGATGGCCTCAGCCGTCACGCTGGCCACGCCCTCTGATGTGTTTCGCCCCGCCCATAGGGGGGTTTGGTCACAGACTGAAGCTTGTAACCAAGCCCCCTATGGGCGGGGCAAAAGGCATCAGAGGGCATGGCCAGAGTGACGGCTGAGGCCATCCTACCACATCCCATTCTTCTCTGACTCCTGGGGTTCAGTTTGAGCGGTGTCCATCCTCATCTATAAACCATAAATGTAGCAGAATACATTTTGGCCTAAATTTATGAAGAAGTTCGATTTTTAAAATGTTTCTAATAGATATGCTGGTCTTTTTTTTGTGTATATAATAAAAAATAAAAACCAGTGGTGATAAAATACCCCCAAAAAGCTCTATTTGTGTAAAAAAAAAAATGATATAAATTTAATTTGAGTAAAGCGTTGCATGACCGTGCGATTACCAAGCAGTGCAGTGCTAAATAGCAAAAAATGGCCTGGTCATGAAGGGGGTAAAACCTTCTGGAGTTCAAGTGGTTAAACTACAGGTGGATGCCTTCTGACCTGCAGTTGATCTTCTGACCTGCAGTTGACATCCTTCTTAGCTGCTTCATTCCTGTTGACTTGTATGGACAGAAAAGCATTTCTAGCGCAAATAAAAACCCATGCACACAGCCCCTTTCAAAGCTCTTAGCCTGGGTTCACATATATGCGGTGCGGCATATCACATGTGATTCGCACAGGAACCACACCCCATTCCTGTGCAAATCACATGCGATTTGTGTGAGGTGCGATTGGAGGCATAGGTTGCATCGCCCGCTTTTGGGGTGTTGTTAACTTAACATACACACCTGCAGTGGTTCACATGAACAGGGTGCGATTCTGATGCGGTGTGAAGTTCGCACAGAAAATGCTGCGAATTCCGCACCACATCAGTGTGAACCCAGGCTTAAGAGAAAGAGGTTGAATGGGTAGCCCTGTTCAGCCCCCCTGTGGTGCAGTGTGCACTTTCATTCTCATGCATGCTAGGTGCATAGCTGGAGGAAAGGTCACTTCTCATCTGCCCAGGTTGTAGTTAGGAGATTTCCATATCTGGTGATGATGAAGAGGCTTACACTGATCTGTAGACTATAAGGGGTCTATTTATTATTTTATATTGTGCTGAGGCATTAGCACAGCAATGTTTGGTTGTATATTTTACAACTCTTTATTTTTTGACAGGTACTTATATAGTGCATCAATTTATGCAGTCATATATATATATATATATATATATATATATATATATATATATATGTGTGTGTGTGTGTATATATATATATATATATATATATACATATATATAGTTCATTCACACCTGTACCTAACTTACATTCATACATACACATACTAGGACCAATTTAGACAGGAGCCAATTCACCTACCAGCATGCCTTTGGAGTGTGGGAGGAAACCAGAGTACCTGGAGGAAACCCATGCAGGCACAGGGAGAACATGCAAACTTCAGGCAGGTTGTATCATGGTTGGGATTTGAACCAATGACCCTAGTACTGCCAGGGTGAAGTGCTAACCATTTAGCCACTTGCTAGACCCTGAATGTGCCATACATCCAAGGGGTAAGAATTGTTTTCAAGGGTGTCTACAAGACTAAACATTACTGATGTATTACTTTATACCCGTAACAGTTTTAATTTTTATACTTTTCTAGGACCTCCATCATTTGGGTGAACAGGCCTGTTCCTTTGTGGGCACTCCAGGTAAGCTTAGTTATCATTTCAAATAGGTATTCTACCCAAAATCAAACACCCTCGTCTCACCTGTATAATTTAGTGAGCTGAAGCCTGCATGTCACTAAACAGCCCTCTCATTTGCAAAATAGGTAGAGTTTAACTTTAGGCAAACAACTCAATATACCTTTGAAATACATATATGAGAACAGTCCTAAAGTGATGGTAAAGGCAATACATTTTTGACCTTAATGCATTGCCTGCATTAAGTTAACAAATGTCCCAGCAGGTGTATTACCCCCTCGCCCCGTCCTATTTTGATCCACGCTGTGACCCTCTGCTGCAGCTCTCTCCTCTCTGTCCATTGGTCCCTGCTGCTGTCAGTCAAATCCTCTGAGAAGGGAGCAGGGGGGCAGGACTGAGCCGCACTAAGTGTGTCTATGGAAGCAGCTTCCTGTGGAGCACACAGAGAAGAGAACTGAAGGGGAACCCAAGAAGAGGACCAGGGCCACTCTATGCAAAACCACTCCACAAAGCAGGTAAGTATAATGTGTACTATTTTCAGAAAAAAAAAAAAATGACATCCACTTTAACCGCTTCCTGTCTGCCCATAGCCTATACACGGTGGACAGGAAGCAGTGCCGATGCAGGTGTATCTGTACATTAGGCCGCATCCGCAGCACCTGCGCAGCTCATAGAGCGTGCACCCAGGAGAATGGAGATCTGTGTGTCACCTGGACACAGGGGATCGCATGATGTTTTACCATGTGATTGCTGTGTCTAATCACAGCAATCACATGGTAAACAATGGAAAGTGAAAGCAATCAATGGTTCCCTCTCACTCACAGACTGCAGTGCCAGCCTGTCTCAGTGTCCCTGATCACTGCCCCAGTGTAGTCATAATAAATAATGCAGCCGTCACCTGTCCCAGTGCGCACAATAACACTGCCATATGCCATACCAGCATCCTGATCACCGCAATACACCTTACAAGCGTCCTGATCACTGCCATACCCCATACCAGCATCCTGAGCACCACCATACCCCATAACAGCATCTTGATCACTGCCATACCCCATACCAGCGTCCTAATCACCGCCATACCCTACACCAGCATCTTGATCACCGCCATACACCATACCAGTGTCCTGATAACCGCCATAAACCATACCAGCATCCTGATCACTGCCATACCCCATACCAGCGTCCTGATCACTGGCATACACCATACAAGCGTCCTGATCACCACCATACCCCATACCAGCATTCTGATCACCGCCATACCCCATACCAGTGTCCTGATCACCGCCATACCCCATACCAGCATCCTGATCACCGCCATACCCCATAACAGCGTCCTAATCACCGCCATACCCCATACCAGCGTCCTAATCACCGCCATACCCTACACCAGCATCTTGATCACCGCCATACACCCATACCAGCGCCCTGATCACCGCCATAAACCATACCAGCATCCTGATCACTGCCATACCCCATACCAGCGCCCCGATCACTGGCATACACCATACAAGCATCCTGATCACCGCCATACCCCATACCAGCGTCCTGATCACTGCCATACTCCATACCAGCATCCTGATCACCGCCATACCCCATACCAGCATCCTGATCACCGCCATACCCCATACCAGCGTCCTGATCACCGCCATACCAGAATCCTGATCACTGCCATACTCCATACCAGCGTCCTGATCACTGGCATACACCATACAAGCGTCCTTATCACCGCCATACCCCATACCAGCATCCTGATCACCACCATACCCCATACCAGCGTCCTGATCACCACCATACCCCATACCAGCGTCCTGATCACCTGATCCCCGCCATACCCCATACCAGCGTCCTGATCACCACCATACCCCATACCAGCATCCTGATCACCGCCATACCCCATGCCAGCATCCTAATCACTGCCATACCCCATACCGGCATCCTGATCACTGGCATACACCATACCAGCATCCTGATCACTGCCATACCAGCATCCTGATCACCGCCATACCCCATACCAGCGTCCTGATCACCGCCATACCCCATACCAGCGTCCTGATCACCGCCATACCCCATACCAGCGTCCTGATCACTGCCATACCCCATACCAGCGTCCTGATCACTGCCATACCCCATACCAGCGTCCTGATCACTGCCATACCCCATACCAGCATCCTGATCACCACCATACCCCATACCAGCGTCCTGATCACCACCATACCCCACACCAGCGTCCTGATCACCTGATCCCCGCCATACCCCATACCAGCGTCCTGATCACCGCCATACCCCCATGCCAGCATCCTGATCCCCGCCATACCCCATACCAGCATCCTGATCACCGCCATACCCCATACCAGCGTCCTGATCACCGCCATACCCCATACCAGCGTCCTGATCACCGCCATACCCCATACCAGCGTCCTGATCACTGCCATACCCCATACCAGCGTCCTGATCACTGCCATACCCCATACCAGCGTCCTGATCACTGCCATACCCCATACCAGCATCCTGATCACCACCATACCCCATACCAGCGTCCTGATCACCACCATAACCCCACACCAGCGTCCTGATCACCTGATCCCCGCCATACCCCATACCAGCGTCCTGATCACCGCCATACCCCATGCCAGCATCCTGATCCCCGCCATACCCCATACCAGCATCCTGATCATCACCATACCCCATACCAGCATCCTGATCACCGCCATACACCATACCAACATCCTGATCACCGCCATACCCCATACCAGCATCCTGATCACCGCCATACCCCATACCAGCATCCTGATCACCGCCATACACCATACCAGCGTCCTGATCACCGCCATACCCCATACCAGCGTCCTGATCACCGCCATACACCATACCAACATCCTGATCACTGCCATACCCCATACCAGCATCCTGATCACCACCATACCAACATCCTGATCACCGCCATACCCCATACCAACATCCTGATCACCGCCATACCCCATACCAGCATCCTGATCACCACCATACCCCCTGACCAGCATCATCCTGATCACCGCCATACCCCATACCAGCATCCTGATCACCGCCATACCAGCATCCTGATCACCGCCATACACCATACCAGTGTCCTGATCACCACCATACCCCATACCAGCGTCTGGCAAAAATTTAGCCGAATACATTTTGGCCTAAATTGAATGAAGAAAGATTATTTCTTTGCCAAATTTTTATTTACAAAAATTTGGCAAAAAAAATTTTTTCATTCAAAATTTTCCATATTTTATCATTTATAGAGCAAAAAATAAAAAATCCAGTGATGATTAAATACTACCAAAAAAAAGCTCTATCTGTCTCAAAAAAATGATAAAAATTCTATATGGGTACAGAGTTGCATGACTGAGTAATTGTAACTGAAAGTGTGATAGCGCTGAAAGCTGAAAATTGGCCAGGACTGGAAGGGGGTGAAAGTGTCCAAATTTGAAGTGGTTAACTTCCCAGGGTGTTTAATCCCGTCCAGTCACTTTTGTCATTCACACACCCTTGTCAGACAGGATGATGACACCATTTTCTCTCTTTAGAGTGAAATAAAACAGCGATGTCACCTATCTCCCCGTCTTTTGATTGGACAATGAAGGTGCAGCAACACAATAAGTCATCAGTGTGAACTGGAACAGAGCCTGTTTGGCTCCTAGTGCCTCCCCTCCAGTTTGAGCGCTGCTGTGCAAGGGATGGTATCAATAGAGATTCATGTACTTACTACAGCTGAAGCTACAAATCCACATAACTATTCACAGCAGAATACACAAAACTATTAGGAGTCGTTACACTTGTGTTTGGGAGAGGGGGCGTTAAAAACGAGACTCCACTTTTGTCTGCAAAGACAGCATAAAGTGGGGAATATATATGCTACAGCAAAAAGTATTCCCCCTGTCATGTTCAGTGGGCATTACCACCCACCGCGTGTGGCCCACTCAACTAAATAGTGGTGCCCTACCAGTTGAAGCACACTAGTGCAGGTTTATGGGGGGGGTTAAACAGGTGGTAAGGAGGCGATACAACGCCTCCGCACTGACTGTCAAATGCGATCCACTTTCAGAACGCTCTTCAGAGAGCAATGCTAGTGTAAACTATCCCTTAAAGGGTTTTTCTATCTGCTTGGAGTTCAGCTTTAGAGAACATGGGTAACACCTGTTGTGCTATTTTAAAATGCTCTAATTCTGTATCACTGTTTTTATCTTTGCAAACCTCATTCTATGTTTTCTTTCCTCTTAGGTTCTTGTTGCATTAATCAGCTTTTTAGAAACCATGCTGTTGACCTATCTGGGATACAAGGTGAGTCTCATATGTTGCAGTTTCACATGCCTCTCTCTGAACAGTTACCAGGACGCTACTCCCAGTTTTCACAGTAGTATTTGCAAATTATTTTAGGACAGTGTCTGTGGGTTTTGGGGATGCATGGACTTGAACCCAAAGTAAAACTACTCCAAAGGTCCCCCAGGCACACACCTCCCAAAGAATAGAGCTCTCTAAGATGCCAGTGTAGCAAGCGTACACACAGAGATGGACGCGGTCCAACCATTTTGCTCCAACCCTCCATTTTCTTAAGAATTCTCCATGTCTCCCTCATTCTTCCCCCCTTCCTCTCTGTTCAGCCACAGTGACATCTGGTTGTGTGTGTGTGTTGGCAGTGTCACAGGAGGCCAGAGCCCAGCAGGGGGCTACGAGCTATAAAACCCCCAAGGGCGCTGGGGCCTTGCTGTTCAAAGAACCTGTGCAACCTAGCACCTCGTAAAAAGATAACGCAAGTCTTCCTAGGAGTTCAAAGGAATTCCAGAGAAGCACGACTGGAAAACACTTTTAAAAATCCATTTTCCCCCTATGTCTCATATCTTGGAATATGAGAGACTTATATAAAAACCAGGCATATCGTCAGATTGGCCAAGAGCAAACGAACAGTTTGGTAGGTCACTCTCCTTGGCTGGAATACACAGGAAAGCAGAAAAGTAGATCTCCTGAACCATTCAGTGTAGAATTTCATATTTCATGTCTAATCAATCCTTAGACATGTCTGCATAATAATCTACCCACGGGTGGAGTGTCACTTGTGCACAGGGAAAGTTATGAGCCAAAATATGAACTAGAAGAGATTTTGGCTCTAGTTTAGGTCTACGCCCAGACCTTCCCGCCCTAAACGGGGTATTGGTCCTTGACTTCAGAGACACCCCCTGCTGAGGAACTACAAAATGAGCTGTCAGGCCTAAGAGAGCTAATTTGAAGAATTCTCCCGATTAACATCAGAACCACCTGGGGAGACCCGTACCCTTTTGCTCTGAAACTTGATCTGCAAACCCAAGGCTGATTGGCAAGTACTTTAACCCTTTAACCTCCTTCTGTTACCTCTTTGCTGTGCTGTTGTTCTCTGTATATTTATATACATATTGGTTACATCTTTTCCTGTAAAGATTTTTATTGCACCCTTTTTGACCTTTCAGTAATAAATCTTTCCTTCTGAAAGTGTTGAACTGTTTCTATAGCTGTTAATTGCAATTTACGAATTCCTGCCTCTAAAAGAGAGCTACTGTGTTTGTTTATCCCTCTTTATAACCGGCCTGCGGTGTTCGTGTTATACAGACGATTATCTCAACCATTATAGTGTTATAGCTGATATCGCTGAGTTTCCTCTTTCTCTGTACAAAAAGGAGGCGGTGGAAGTGTGAAGGGTTAATTGCGTAATTAACCTGACCCAGTAACAATCGCTCAGGCTGCCGGTACATAGATTGTGGTCCAATTAGCTGGAAAATCGTTGTGCAGGGTGCAGCTGGGTGTGGCATTTTTACACACGTGACATTGCGGTATTAGATTGGCTAGTCCTTCGGTCACGAGTTTGGTGAGAAGGGCTGGGGTCTGACGCCGCGTTCGTCACATATTGGTGGCAGCAATCGTGGGATTGTGACATATTGGTGGCAGCGATCATGGGATTGTCACAGCCAGGGCCCATGGTCAGTAGGCAAGAGGCTAGCCTGCAATCCCCTCCAAAAGCCCCTGTCCCAGTTGGGTCTGTCACATTTCTCCATCACAGACAGTAATAGAGAGTCTGCCATGGCTTTTTTTTTTAGGATTAACACTCCAAGCTGACATCCATGATTAGTCCTTAAGCACACAACTATAACCATAAATGGCCATGCTGCTTCTTTGGGACCCAGAGGAAAAAGGACCCTGAAAAGTCAGGTGGGGCTGCTGGAATCATCAGTGGAACAGATAGATTTAATGTAACTAACCTGCAAAACTGTGCAGAAATGCTCCTCTCCCAGCTGGTGCCGACTGAAGGCCACAAGTCATATGACAAGATATAAACAGTCAGCCCTGGTTGGGGGAAGAATTGGATGATTCCTTGTTCTCTTCCAGTACAGTCTTTTCGGGAACAGTGTTATTTTCAGTCTCGCATGACAGTGTCTATCTCTCTGTCATTCTGTCCCCCATTCTCTACATGCCAGTCTTCCTTTTTAGGGTATGGCACATAACTGGCCTATAATAATTCCTTCTTAGATACTGGATGTCCCCATAGCCATGAGTCAGGACTTGTTGGGGTGAATGCCAGCCTGCCCTTTCCAGTGGTGGGGCACTTTGGGAAGTTGGACACAATGTTATCAAGCGTTCTAAAGGGGTCCATCACTAAGAGAGTGTTGCCTGAATTATCTCTGTTGGTGGTCCAGGCCAGACCAACATGTAGTCATTGGATCCTATTGCAGTGTAAGGATGTTATGCATTTGTGAGACTACTCGCATCAGCTTTGACTTTGGATACTGGACTCTGGGACCTCCCTCCTGTAGGTATAGGTCTTTTGTCTCTCCTTCCTACTTTGCTGTCTCTGAAATTTACTATGGACTATTAGAAACCTGAAGCTGTGTTCCATCACTTCTGGCAGGAAGCTGATCTGTATTATACAACATGATTATAGTAAACTCTAGAAAAGTCACTTTCTAAGGACCATTCGAAACTTTGAAGCTGTGTGCCATCATACCTCATGGGAGGCTGATATGTATTAAACAGTAATAATTTTGTAAGCTCTTGAAAATGCATTTTCTGCTGTGGACTGCTCCTTTTTCTGTTCCTGTAACTTACATGGTAACATCCTCTGGAAATGGTCCTTTTTGTTGGGATCACAGTGGGGTCCACTGCCGACTAACCCTAGGATGGTCTAAAGACCATTCAAAACTTTGAAGCTGTGTGCCATCATACCTCATGAGAGGCTGATATGTATTAAACAGTAACAATTTTGTAAGCTCTTGAAAATGCATTTTCTGGTGTGAACTGCTCCTTTTTCTGTTCCTGCAACTTACATGGTAACATCCTCGGGAAATGGTCCTTTTTGTTGGGATCACAGTGGGGTCCACTGCTGACTAACCCTAGGATGGTCTAAAGACCATTCAAAACTTTGAAGCTGTGTGCCATCATACCTCATGGGAGGCTGATATGTATTAAACAGTAATAATTTTGTAAGCTCTTGAAAATGCATTTTCTGGTGTGAACTGCTCCTTTTTCTGTTCCTGTAACTTACATGTTAACATCCTCTGGAAATGGTCCTTTTTGTTGGGATCACAGTGGATGGATCGATTGAGAGTATCCTGGTGAGTGTTGGATGGGCCGGGCTGAGTTGCCCTGCAGGTGTTCCAATGCTGGGATCCTGAGGGCCCCATGCAGAAAGTACTTAGCTGGATCAAGAAAAACCCCTGTGGCCATGCAGGAATGGGTTACATTTTTTCCCCAGCTACACTACAGTTTTGTTTTCTAATAGCAGCCTCTGAAAGGTTTCTGCTATGATGTTCATCTAACAAACTGCTTACATTTCTTTGGGGTCCCAAATAAAACATTTCATTAGGATCTGTGATTTCTACTCAATCATCTCTGCAGGTTCTGTTTATAGGGATTTCTGTTCTAAAAGAACTTATATATATTCTTGGAAATTCCTTTAAAAACAGTAGAAAACCTTTCATCCTACTTTTGCTGACAGTGTTCAAAACCTTCCATTCTGTGTTTTCTTCATTTGCTGTTATATCGCTCTGTCACAATACCAGATTTTACCTGGAAGCAAAATTTGTAATTGCAGCTTTGTGGATCCTGTAAACTCAAGGAGCTGCAAAGGTGGGGCCCCTCATTA